TAAATACTAGTTTTCAAGCCCGTGCATCAATTTAGCTAATTTGAAATTTGATTTCTTTCGGATCATATGTAATGTGATTTAAAAGAAAAATAAACTTAGTCTAATATAGAGCTTGTTTGATAATACGAAAATAAATTGAATTAACTTATTTTACTGAAATTGATTAAATTTTGACTGAATGAGCTGAATCGGTGTAATCTTCTCAATCGTGAAAAAAATATGTAAAATATATTCCATTTGTGAAGCCAGGAAAAGATTATATGAAAAATAGTTAAATTGATATGAACCCGATTGTTATGAACCCGGAAAATAAGCATCTCGAGCAAATATAATTGTTAGAACCCGATTTTAAACATTTAATATAATCTTATGAAGATGGATATTCATAGAAATTTAATATATATGAAGTAAAAAAAGTCTAAATGTAGAGCCTGTTTTTTAAATTGTAAGCCTAAACGTATAAACGTATACTATAACATTTAATATAATGGTTATAATGGAATTAAAACGTATAATTTTAACACATAATTCTAAGCCTAAACATATACTATAACATTTAATTGTTATAGAAATTAAAACATATTTTTGGCTAAGAATACCTATCATATATAAACTTAGTCTAATATAAAGCATGTTTAATATAGTACTTTTTACGGATTTTTGTTTCCATATTAATATGCAATCAAAAATAGAATCTAGTTAATAAAAATAGAAGATATGAAAATAACTAAATAATTATTATATATAATGACATGTCAAGATTATGTGGCGCTTTGTATGCTCTTAAAAAGTTCATCTTATATATATATATATATATATATATATATATATATATATATATATATATATATATATATATATATATATATATATTGATTAGGGAGTACAATTAAAGTTTGCAAACAAATACTCCTAAGAAAGTTGTTTTTACCACTGCGTAAGAATTTGTAGTCTTATTAAACTATAAAAGATAGGAATTTAATTCATTTATTAGAAAGCTGCTTAATCAAAATCACCACATAAGATGAGTGCAATGACGTTAGATTACGAAAAAACAATTTATCCATTTCAGTATTTATCCGAGTGACACATTTATGGTAATAATTGGTAACACACTCGGCAAATTATACCCTACAACCGGCACACTATGAGGATGGTGTGCCGTGTGCCCGGTGCTAAAACTACACGGAATACTTACGCAAGCTAAAAAAAAATGCGTGGACCAGGCTCTGTGCCTCTGCACCTTCGATTTAATTTTGGATGGAAGCATAGGGTCTGCACCTTCGATTAAAAAACAGTCCTCATGGTTGTTTTTACTTTCAATTTCGACATACATGCCCACCATGTTTTCTGCAATATGAATGTTAGTTAGTTGGTTTTGGATTTCAGTTTGTTTTTACTTGATTGGGTTTTGAGACTCATCAGAACCAGAATCGATCAATGGAGACCTGTTTTGTTGAAGATGACTGTTATGAATTATTTTAAATCTTTCTCAATTTACATCTTGGGTACACTCAAGTTACATCAAGATTTGTCTAAAGTTACATATTCCAAGTTACATCTAATTTGTTTTCAAGTTACATTTCAATTAAAGCAATTTATATCTCAACGAGTTACATGTGAATGAGTGTAATTTATATTTTAATTAACTTGAAGTTACATATAAAATCACACGAGTTACATTTCATGTAGTCATGGATGCATGATGCTCACCATGCCAGGGTCGGCTCCAGCGTTTTGGAGGCCCCAGGCGAAAAGTTTTACCCCCTCTGTCCCACAAAATTTTTTCCACTTACTATTTTGGGATATCCTAAAAATTCTTCCCATTTTCTTTTTTGGAAAGTTTTATGTGACTAACATTTATTTATTTATTTTAACTCAATCACAAACCATATATTCACTTTATTCCCACTTTCTTAATAAGTGTGCCAAGTCAAACCGGAAAATATTCTTTGGGATGGTGGGAGTAATTTTTATATCATGTTCATGTGATCTCTATAACATAGTCATAAAAAATAAGATAGAATAAATACAGTACCTAAGGTTCGAATCCCTAAGGTTCGAACCCCTAACCTTATGATGCAGCATAAGATAGAATAAATACAAATGCATCATATATTGTGAACTTCAAATCAAACAATAAAGTTTTAAATGTAACATATATGAAATGCATTACGAAGTGTACTTTTGAATACATAAATAAATCTCTTAAAGTGCAAAACTTTATAAGCACATCACTAATCAAGAGTTCAAGACTAGCTGCGCTAGCTGACATTTTTTTCAATAGAAGAAATTGTTTTTACACACCGGTTCATAAAGCCAACAAGCGATTGTAAATCAAATCTCTTCCCATCTAATTCTTTCTCTTCGGGCATCCTGAGTCAATTTTTCATTCACGTCATGGAAATACCAAAATATTTATAGAATAAAAAATTCACAAAAAAATCATCAATTCAAAACTTTTGATTTCTAAATGCACTCACAAATCAAATAAAATTACTAATTAAGTGGAATCAATGCAATCACACTCACACACTTGTACTCGGTATTTAACATTTAGGCAATTAACCATTAAGAAATTCAAGTATTTAACTCAAATACGTAGTATCTAGACCTCTGTATTCTAGTTATTTTATTGCTTGAACAACTTTGTTCAACCACTCACACAAACCCAATTCTTCACCGGCACCCCCAATGCATATCGCCTTCCTCACACAGAAATATTCAAACAATCTAACTTCCCCCACAATCTCACTTACAAACCCGGCCTCGAGCTACAAAGGAACTCCGTCTAACCTTCTTGCACTAAGAAATATAATCCCTAGCAAACAAGCTCTCCTTCGGAGTTGTTTTCATATGGAGTAATACTAATACCAGTACTTTTTTTGAGGCCCTCCCCTGATTCGAGGCCCTAGGCAAACGCCTGGGCTGATTGGCCCCAAAGCCGGCCCTGCACCATGCACTGGTTGCACGGTATAAGTACTGCACATACTCCGTATTAACTAAATCGCTTTTCACCGTCTAATGGACCAAAAGTACAGAACTAATCGTTTCGGGTTGTGTTACTACCAACTTCACACAACCACCTTTTTGTGATATCATTAAATTATCTACGGCGTTTAGTTTTAATTGGAAGAAATTGGATAGTACTTTAAGTAATTCCTTTATGTTATTAAATTTCATTTTACTTATCTTATTTTTCTTTTTGAGTTGCTTCAAAATAGGTGTCTCCTTTCAAGTCAAAGTGAGACACATAAAATGGGACGAAGATAATATTATGATTACGGTGTTGTTGCTTTTGTCATTTACATAACTATTAAGATTGTTTATCACAACATCGTAAAGTGACAACATATCAACAAGTAGACATGGACTTTTTAGGGAAAGTTCCCAAAATAGGATTAAAACAGTTTGAAAATTCCAAAATAGAATTACATGTTTTTATTTCCAAAATATGAGTAATTAATGTCAAGTTTGGAAAATACTGTCATGTTTGAAGTCTGGTACTGCCAAAACATGACAATAATTAGTCTCATTTTGGGAATAAAAACATGGCAGTCATATTTTGGAATTTTCAAACCTTTTTGGTCCTATTTCGGGTAATACTCGTTAGATATTGGTCATATTTTTGAAAGTTCCTAAGGGTAGTTGCTAAGCATAAGGCCAAAGTTAAAAGCGGAAAAGCATTTCAATTTTCAATTTTTTTTGGATCGTGCATTTCAATTTTCAATTAATAATTGCTATTTATTATGACAGTTTAGAGAAAACAAAAAAGTCATGTAAACAAAAATTTTACAAGTTGAGCATAGTTTATTCTTTCTTTCATCATCATATAATTTTCAAAAGATTACAAAAACAAAAAGGGAAAACTGTCAAATAGGTCCTCGAACTTTCATAAAAAGGTCAATTAAGTCCTTCTGTAGGAGGTTCTGTCCGGCCGTCGCGATTTGGGGCAGTTCCCGGTGTATTTTTTTGATGAATTTTTTTGAGCATCTTATTCACCAAGTCTAGTTTATTCATACCAAATTTCAGCTAAAAATGCAATCGGGAATACATTCAAATTAATTCTTGAAGATAACTGCGCATTTTTGCGTTCTCGAATTAATTTGAATGCGCTCCCGATTAAATTTTTAGCTGAAATTTGGTATGAGTAAACTAGACTTGATGAATAAGATGCTCAAAAAATTTCATCAAAAAATTCCACCGGGAACCGCCCCAAATCGCGAAGACCGGACAGAGTCTCCTATAGAAGGACTTAATTGACTTTTTTGTGAAAGTTCGAGGACCTATTTGACAATTTTCCCAAAACAAAAATGTATGTTGCTACCTGTTTTTGTTAAAGTTAGATAGATAAAATATTTATTAAAGTGATATTTTAATTTAATTCAGGGAAAAAGTACAAATAGGCCCATGTACTAACCAAAAAAAGTCAAATAAGCCCTTATTTAAGAGGCTCTGTCCGGCCGTCGCCATTTGGGGTGATTCCCGGTGAAATTTTTTGATGAATTTTTTTGAGCATCTTATTCATCAAGTCTAGTTTACTTATACCAAATTTCAGCTAAAACTTCAATCGTGAAGGCATTCAAATGAATTCTTGAAGATAACTGCGCAGTTAAAAGTGCAGTTATTTTCAAGAATTCATTTGAATGCCTTCCCGATTGAAGTTTTAGCTGAAATTTGGTATGAGTAACCTAGACTTGATGAATAAGATGATAAAAAAAATTCATCAAAAAATTCCACCTGGAACCACCTCAAAATATTTGACCTTTTTTTGTTAGTACATGGGTCTATTTGCACCTTTTCCCCTTAATTCATTTTGCTTTTGAAGAAAATATATAAAAATAGCTCACCTTTTCACATCTAGACTTATACGCTTTGATGGTGGTCCACCCATGAGTTGATCGTTTTTTCTATGCCTATCTGGAGTGACGTTTTCCAGCCTCCTCACTCCAAGGCTTCGGCGCCATTAGGAACAAGTGTTGGGTTTATTCCACACTTTAAAAGGTCCAAATATTTGAACTTGAATGGTGACATACATGATACATGGTCATGGATTCAATTAGGAAAGAACCAAGAAGTTTTCAGTTAAATAACAAGTAAATATTTTATCTGTTTTGCCATCACTTCATGTAGCGATCTCACTTCCAACTCTTTGGAGAATGAATGTATGTTCAGTAGGCTGAAGCCAACCTCTTGTAAGGATCACCAAATGCAGCTATATTCCCAGGTCGCGAGAATACCATCTACATTAATGTTTGTATATAGGTTGACAAAAGATGTTGGTTAACTTTCATTAGCTTTATATGAAAAAAATAAACACAGATAATTCACACATACCTGATAGTTTCCAAGTGTGCAGGTCTGGAATCCTGCCGCACAATAATCGAAGTAATATTCCCAGGTCCGGATGAACTTCTGGTCAAATCCCAGATCAAGAATTTGTCTGCATGGCACAGTTTATATTAACACATCAAAGTCCTGAATCTCTTTTCATTTTACTCAAAGGCCTATATGAAATCTTGATCATCTTACCTCTGTTTTCCAAGGAAGTTCTCTCTCCAACACCGGAGCGTCTTATAGTAATGAATTCCAATGTCTTCCAAATGCTCCACGCTATTTGAAAGAGTTCATTATATTATGTAACTATGGAGTATGGAGTATGTTCAAACAAAAACTTCTGTCTTTTTTTATTTCATTTTTGGTTTTATTTTTACCAGAGCCTTGAGGAAGCAGCCATGGCTGATGTGACTCGGCTTAGAGAGGGTAGGCATCCTCCTGGGAATATATATTCCGTCATGAACTCTGAGCTCTGCCTATGTTCGTCATACCTCTCATCTGGTATTGATATAAACTACACAATAAACCCACAATTTACTTCACCACATGTTATGGTGCTGGTTTGAATGGTTTCATAGAATGAATTATATTAAAATGCAAATCAACAGCCTGCTTCATAGAACAAACATATTAAAATGCAAACCAACAGTCTTTTGGCACCCCTTGTTTCAGGTTATCATTCTTACCGACTACTTTTTTCGCCAACATTATTTTTATGACTCCGGGCGCTTAAGTGGTTAATAATGACATAAGTTAAAGTCAGAGTTATTTTTTGATTCAAATGACTGAAGTTAGTGAGTACTTTTCGTATTACTTTTAAACTTCTTTCTCATAGATTATTAATATTTTAATATATTTCCAGTAGTTTCAGCCTTGTCATTCATTTCCGTCCCATTTAACCCTTACCAAACTGGATCATAAGGTCTTGGGCTAATCCTTATGATAGTCTTTAGAACCTGTTAGGTTCAATGTTCAATTAAGCTGTGTAATTTGATTTAAGTCTAAGAAAAACACATGTTTCAAGGTTGAGTTGAAGCAAAGATCTTTCTTTTCCCCCCTTTATGTGACTTAAAATACCTGCAGAACAAGAATACCATCTCTTGCCAAAGCAGATTCACAGTGACAAAAAAAGTCGTTCATAAACTCGTGACCAACGGCTTCCAACATCTCACTGAAAATGATCATTTCTCAGGCCATCAGATGAGCACATGGCACTCAAACAAGAGAAACAAGTGCAAGGGAAGAATGTACCAAGATATGATTCTGTCATATTTTTTATATCCAGGCAATTGTCTATAATCACAAAGCAGGAACCTTGTGCTATCCTGAAGGCCTGCTTCTCTAACTTTCAGTTCTGCATATTTCAGTTGCTGCTCTGAGAGGGTAATGCCAGTATATTTGCAACCTGTTCTTTTCACAACTTCTATAGCTAAGCTTCCCCAACCACATCCTATCTCAAGAACATGATGTTCTTTACAAATTTTTGCCTAAATGCATAGAAACAACGTCATATTTGGCTGAAATTTGATTTTTTTGAAGAAAATGTTGAGTTCAACTGTATTGGCTTTACCTTTTCAATCAGAATGGAAATTTTTCTCTGCTGCGCCATTTTCAAGTCTTCATCTTCACTCTTTCATTCGAAAAGTTGTGTCAAATATGTAAAAAGACCTTAAAGATAGATGGTGGGAAATTAAAAAAAATTATACCTTAAATATTGCACATGAGTATGTCATTGTTTCATCTAAAAAGAGAGAGAACAGTTCATTACTCTGCAAACAAACACAACTAGTAATTGTCAGATTCTTATTAACTTTCTTGGATTGTCGTTTAAAAAGGTTAAAGGAAAGAAATGCTTACAAGATCATAGTGACGAGAAATATTACGTCTTGCTTGAGTAATAGTGTTTAGCCTCGAACCATGGTGGCTAAAATATTTGGCAGATGCAAATGCAGATGTGAAAAGCAATGGTGTCCACCACCCCCTAGATGAAATGAAATAAACTAGATTTAGTAAGGGTTTGTTTGGAAGGAAAGCTTTTGGAGGGATTGAGGGGAGGGGGTTATCTTGATAAATACAATATTTCTAATAAATGATAAAAAAACAATTTTAGTAGATGGTGACTACAATATGACTACTAGTGACTTTATCTCATGTTAGTCTTTCAATATTCACAAAATCTCAAATATATAGACTAATCTTGATGGAGGGTCTTGGAGAGCGTGGACTGTATCTTGATAACTAAAACATTTTTAAAACGAGTAGATGGTGACTACAATATGACTACTAGTAACTTTAGTGATGTTTTGCAGTTACTGTGGTGATCATGGCTATGTTCGTTGCAATATGTGAAAACCCCATATGTGTCACCCATTATTTAATCCATTTTTTATATTGCAAAAATATATACCAAAACATGGACATAGTTCTCTAAACCCCATGACCCCAAAGTTCAGAAATGCTCAAAGATAAATGTATGCTGAGAAGTTCACTAACCAGAGAGATTTTTTTACCTTTTTCTATTAGATCTTGATACTGAAGCTTTTAGTTCTCTGTTGGCAACAAAAATCTGCAAAATAAACTCAGGTCCTTGAGTAGCTGTAACTCCTGTAAGACGTTTTTGTATTTATGTAGAGCTTTTATTAATTTCTTACCTTGAACAGATTAAGAAGACCTTCTTTTTTATCTACAAAAGAGATATCTCCATGAATATAGGCATCAGCAAGGCCTAAATCAGCCTGAGTTGCAACCTGTTGTATCGTTATTTTCAAAACTTATAAGTCTCTAGTTTTGCAAAAAGAAATTAAAACACAACACAGTTTATGCATTACCTTCCAGTAAAAATGTGGACTGTGAACTTTGAGTGAAACTTTGAGGAAGTTTTTCTCGTCTTTTCCTTCAAAGGTAAATATAGTACCCCCTTCTTCCAAAAATCTGCTCAACAAACAATAGCAACAGAGAAAATGAGCTGTGAAAAAGGGGTAGAATCATGTTAAAATATCTCACATCACACAAAAAAATAACTTACAAGTCAACATATAAGATCTTGAATTATATTATAGCACTTAATTGTTCTTAGTTTATTTTCCATCATTTGCAATGGAGCCAAAGTTCACTATTTTTTGGCTTGGGAATATGATGGAATAAAGCAAAATGGCTCACTAAACTGTGTGCGCTTCTTTGTTATGAAGCAGCAGTCACTCTATGCAATTTTCGACGCGATTTTCACTATGGGTCATCCGGAAATAGTCTCTTTGTGCTTTAGTACAAGGGTAAGATTGCATACATCCGACCCCCCCTTACCCCACCGAAGGTGGGAGCCTTTGCGGCACTGAGGTAATCATAATGATAATGAATGATGATTTAATTGTTCTTAGTTTCTTACATTAAAAAGATATAGTGTTCGAAGTCTAAATCAGCATTTTGACTTTTTTAAGCCTAAAAAGCAGGCACACAAACATCAAGATTTTGTTGCATCCGGTGAGAGCCACCATCTAATTTGCTTCATATAAGGTCATCTCACATCATTTAAATTTAGAAGTAAAGATAGAACTCCAAGTTTATTAAATCTGATATTGGCCAGAGTGCAGAAAAGAAGTTATTTTCACTCAGTAGTATTAACTCACATAATGCAACCAGTAGCAATAAAACTTCCGAGGAATTTGGTTACTAGAAAACGCGCTCCTGTTTCTGACCACGTAGGCACCATTTGTTTTGGGTTGTTCAGTGGACTGCAATTCTTCCTCAATAGTCCATGTGCAGCGACCATTCCAGCCTGTGGACACCCATATACTGTCTCATTTAGTACTTGAAATCATTTAGGCATAATTGATATTAAGGCTGCAGTTGAAAAGGAACTTTCTATGTCTGTAGTGATTAAAACAAGCTTTTGGCCAAATATAACACTTATTTGGGATTGTGTTGTGGATAAAAGAACTTTTTTAAGGAAGAAAATACTCCAAACGGGCTAAATGAAATCAACAGATATACCTTTAGTCCATCCTCATGAAATCCATATCCTGAAAAACATAAGGGATATGAAGCACATGAAATAATCTGTTGTCACGAAACATTATGAATTTAAACATGAATGTTGCTTCTATGTATGAATGTTTACCTTGATATGCACCACAAAACCATATATTCCGCTTTCCTTGAATGTCTTGAAGCTCAGATGAAGCTTTTGAAGCAGAAACTGATGGAACCGGATGCCCCGTTGTCCACTTAAGCAAACAATCCTCTGGTGTCTGAGGTGGATTGAGAGTTACCAGATACGGCTGCTCTGTCTCACCGAGGTTCTGTTTTTTCAAAACCGTATTCTTATTATAATTGCTCAGTTAATTAGAAAATGCAAGGAAGAACTAGTAGTAACTAGTAATATGAAGAGTGCTTACCTGAAGTATGTTTAGCCAATATGTAAGACAGACTCTCTCATTTTCCGTTCCAAGAAAATTCCATGCGCTCCACGCTGCTTGGTTTCTTGGCATGAAACTTTTATCGCGATGAAGGTAAATATCACTGTCATAGAGGGCATGAAAAATCGTTTAGTCATAATTTTTTTCAGTTTTGTAATCACGTTATTACGTATATGCTTTTAGGATCATGAAAATATTTATATTTGACTACCGTGGAATAACATCGCATGCCTCCATTACGTAGTAGCTCATTGAAATAGACCAATCTTGAAATGTGTGGCTTTTTGTGAGCTTACTAGTTTAAAGGATCAATCTCGTATAAGAAATAGTTTAATAATTATGTATACATCACACTAATTTTCTTCATGCAATCTTTTGGTACCAAAATGATTCAATAACACTGGTTCATGCGTCATTTATGCATTCTAACTGTCTTAATTCAAATACCATACCTGTACATGTACTGAAAAGCACCTAAGATTCTTGTTTCATTGAATGTTGCATTTTCTCCCAACATTTTCAAAGTGTCTGGCGCGTGTGCCGCAATTATGCATCCATCATACGTTTCTTGAGACATTTCCAGACCACTGGTTATCACAACACGGCCTGCAAATTTATACGTAATATATGTTTCTCAATGTCAACTAGGTAGCTATTAATGCTATATATCATTTTGTGAAACATTAAAGCATGTTATATGTGATTTATATGTGATTCACCTTGCTCATTTATGGTTGAAATAGTTTTTACTTCACAACCACACCGTATTTTACACCCTCTCTTCTCCAGCACTTCCATAACCTGTTATACATCAAAATGCATATCAAAAGGTGTAGCATATTGTCATTTGGTTTTGGTTTTGAAAAATACTTCGTATAAAATTGATAACTATACCAAATAACTTAAATTGGTTTCGGTAAGTTTTGGTTTGGTTATTTTCAATCGGTTGGAATCAGTCTCTGACGGTTTGGCACATTTCAATCAGTTTTAGTCTATTTTATTATCACTTCAACCAGTTTTTAAAGAAACCATTTTAAACCATAGAACTAATTATAGTTGGTTAGTTGGTTACTAATTCAGTTTGTGAGGTATTAAATGACTCGGTTTTTCGGCTGGCCTGTTGGTCGTTTTTTTTGTTCTGCCTTGCCAAAAGGTACATAGTATGGACGAATGTTACCTTGTTTACATAGCTGTGTGCTCGCCTCTTCACCGTTAGCCATTGTGGTCGACCGAGGAGCTAGAAAGAAAGCCAGTGGTATTTTCATCACCAAGGATTATCTCATCAAATCCTTAATGTTTACTGAACCTTTGAAACTGTACTCAATAAAGAGTGATGACTAAAGAACAAGCAAATGAAGAGAACTTACTTGCAGAACGTGGTGGTTGCGACAAAATGAAAGAATGGAATAAGCAGAAAACCCCATCACCCCTTCTGATGGACATGACCATATGGATGCACACATTGGAATCTGTTTCATAAGAAATCTACATTTTTAAAAACAACACTTAATATTTAATCATTATAAGGAAAAGAAGTATTTTGAGAAGGAGCAACACACTATATAAGCCTTCAGAAAAAGATCTGAATATCTATGGGATTTGAAGAATTCTCCCAATGTATCATTGTGTTCCATATCAGGGTTATTTTCGAGCTCCTCAAGGTAACTACAATAGAAAGGCAAAATGATGTAGTTGAGTACACATTTTGTTAAGTTATTGCATATATTACCAAATACGAAGTATAAAGAGATGAACTTGATATTAGACTCTGCAATACGCTACTATCTATTAGGTTGTTATTTTACAATAGAGCTTCACGAAGTATTAGTATTATAATACTACTACTTATAGTAACACAAATTGCGCTAAATAGGAGTAAAAATGTTTTGAAATTACAAAGTAGGAGTATCATGTTTTTGACAGAAATTTACTCCTATTAAGGGAATAAATAACATGTTACTCCTATTTTGGAATTTCAAAACATTTTTACTCCTATTTATTGAATTCTCTCTTATAGTAATCAATTATGTCAACTAGATCATTCGGAGTAGTAATTATTACTCCTTCCGTCCTATAAAATTCTTCTCACATCCCAAAAAATTCTTCCCATTTCTGTTTTTGGAAAGTTTTATGTGACTAACATTCATTTACCTTTTTTACGCAACCACAATTATACATTTCTACTTTATTCACACTTTTTTAAACTCCAATCCAAGTCATACCGGGAAAATTTTTGTGGGACGTAAGGATTATTATTATACTACGTATATTTCAACTAGATCGAACTGTGGGAAAAACTATATAATTTAAGATACTTTAAGGTGATACAAAGAACAATGGGATCCTACTATCCTAGGAATAGAACCTCAAGACATCATGCTTGAACTTGAGTATTTCACGCAGCATTTGCCAAAAGTATGGATTCAACATATTCTTCTTCTGTGCAAATAAGCTAGTAAAACCGTTTCGGCTGCCCCATTCACAACCACGGCCTTTATCTAAGCTCACAGAAAACGACATATCGGAGGTTTCCATGTCAACTCCAAGAGACTCGAAGAGTTCCATCATGTTTGGATATGTAACCTGCAACCCAATACCATTTTTCAGTTTGGATATGTAACCTGCAACCCAATACCATTTTTCAGTTTGGATTTGTAACCTGAAATGTGGAATCATGAACGTAATTTTGGATGATAAAAATACGGTACACTATTAATCTATGATAAAAAAATTCAATCTTAATGTGTTCCAAGTTCCAACTAGATGCAGTGGCGGAACTAGGGGGCGAGCAGGTGCTGCCTCCCCGTTTGTTATAGTGTACATATATGTATATGTATATGGCTATATGCTCAGCCCCGTCTCAAAAATAATAATAAGCACTAACCGACCCATGTTTGGAATAATAGCTGGAGTAGCACTGATGGTTGATGCATTCTATAATTTCAGGGAAGATGCGGGTACAATTCCCACTGAGTTTGTTAATTTTCTAATGACTCCTGGCATGAGACTTCCTTTATTTGTCTTTTAACTTTATGAGATGTTATTAGTTTTAATATTCCTCCTACCACTCCAGATTTCTTTTATTTTTATGGTACATTTCGAAATATTTATTTTTTTTCTTTTTCGAATATTAACATGTTATTTACCTTTTCTATTTAGTACAATAACATCAAAATTGACCTTTAACTATTTCTTTCCTCTTCAAACTAACATTGGCGTATATCATTTTATAAAGATCAATTTATCAAGAAATATTTCAAAACGACTTGAATTTTAACATAACTATTTATTCCTTGGTTTAGTAGGTACAAATATGCCAAAATTTCGTGTGATATCTGAAAATCTGACTTTATATCAGTATAATTGGATTTATGTAATACATTTGCATAAACAAAACAATTATCCTTTAAAAATATAAATAACCTACAAGTAACATTGATTTGAAAAGAGAAAAATAAAATTATTGTTTTCTTGATAAATTAGTAACTTATATATATATATTATTAATTTATCTTCCTCTACTTGTTTAGTTGTACTTCTATTTAAACCTTGTTATTCTAAAATAAAAGGACAAACGTATTAAATCGAAATAAACTCATTTGATAAACGAAGTCTATTATTTTGTTTAGGCACTAACAAACAAGTATAAAAATGAATAAATGTCTATTTAAGTTGATATCGATATGTATGTGTGCGCTTGTGTGTGAATTATATATAGGTCCATGTAAAGTATCACTTCGTGCAAATGAGAATAATTCTTTTGCATCGGATTTGAAATCAAATTACTGTAAATATACCCAAAAAACGGTACTTTTTATAGATCTTTCCAATCAACTTTTTATAGATCTTTCCAATCAACTTTCTTTACTTCATTTCTGAGTTGTGCTTCTATGGGGGGTAAAGGTCAGGACTTCAGTGACCAGCTTGGAAAACAAATGGCTTTATAAGTGAAGTTTGAGCAAGGTACTTAATATACTTATTACTTCATTTGTATCGAAATTAAATAATCTTTACATTTTCTTTTGTACCGTTTTCTAATATTTCTCACGTTTCTTTTTTAAGAAAACATATAGCCTCACATTACTTGCGTTTTCTCAAAATAAATTTCAAGCACACAGTATCTAATTTCTTCATTTGCATTGAGGTCAAAATGATCGTTCATTTAGAGGCGAATGGAGCATTATATCTTAAACTATGAGAATTTAGAAGGTCCCTGTAACAAGGCAAAGTGGCAAACCGCAAACAAGGTCCCAAATCCTTGTATTGTGGCTGTTCCATGTATGATATCATGAATATAATAACAATTTTGACATGAACTTGGCACGCATGTTTGGCACGGATTAGCCAAAATTTATAGAGTATTTGGCACGGTTATGTAAAATCCGTTCCAAATTTCGTGCCAACACCCTTTCATCACTAGCTATTTGGCACGGTACTGTGACAAAAATATGTTATGATCTGTGCCAAACTCCAATCTGTGCCAAGTACAAGCAAGCTATTGGTGTTTTCTTAGCTTGTAGGATCTACTTTCCTCTTATGAGGAGTGTGTAGCCTGACATACAAGATCAAATTTATGGTTAGTGAAATTAATAGAAATTGGTATATAAATTTGGAATAACTTTACCCCCAAAAAATAGAATTCATTTATGAGACTTCCCCTTTAATATTACTCTGTACTATAATGAAGTTCAAAATTTTAAAATTTTGCTTCTAAAAAAAATCTTAAAATTTTAAAACATCTTGTTAGACATACAATTAAAAGCTTCAAGAAACTTTTAAGTAATGCAAAAGTTAAAAGGTATGTATCTCTCTCTGTCTACCAGAAATGTGTATATAATCTTCGATTTGGAACATCTTTCTAGTATCAAATACATTTCCTTTTTCTGTTTTTTATTTAACTAAATTAGACCATAAAATATTCGAACTGGATCATATCAAATGGACAATATATATCAAACAAGATAATTAAACAGAATCATAAACTCCAGATGTGTCAATTTTTATTCTTTTTCTTGAGTGCTAGAATTTTAACGGAAACATGTGATATTTGGTTGATTTTTCTATTTAAAGTGATAATACCTTTTATGAATTTTTTCAAATAATTTAGAATGTATAATCAAATAATAAAAGTTAGAATGAAATGGCAGGATAAAAACTATGAAATTTAAGGCAAACAAAAAAAGAGTTTTTTGCCACTAATGAATGATCAAAGAGAAAAGTACGAAATGTTGTAGTTGCTCGTCGGACATCGTCATCAAAATCTTCTCCACTTTGAGAAGAAGACTCGGCCCGCCCTTTACCTTTGCCTTTGCGTAAACTAGGATGACTTGTCGCAATCTCATGTGATTGGGCCCTTATTCAGATAGGATCATATGTTTCAATTTTTATTAAATGATTCATGTGTTTGAACTCTGTTATCAAAAGAGTGTCACACCATTAAAAGCGTCAGGGAAATTATTTAAAAACGATCTTGTCTTTTTATTGTGTGTTCGACTATATATTAGCCCTTAGTAGGCCAAAAATAGTCATAAATGTAACAATAGAACTATAATTTTTTGATTCCCAAAATAGGAGTAATATACGGAGTATGTCCCTTCTTCTTATTCTACACATTCCAATAATTTCTAATAGATTTACTTTTATTAATTAGAAAACCATAATTTTATTTATAATAAATATATAAAAAATCTTAAATATATTTATAAATTAATAATCAAAATGGTAAAAAATAAAATTAAAACTAATAAATAATAAATATAATAAAAATACAAAAATATTTAAAAAACTTCAAAAAATCTATAAAATAAATAAAGTGCCTAAAAATACTAAAACAATTGTAGGCCTCTGTCACCACATCCTCCACATCCCTGCTCTGATTTCCAAATAAAGAACAAAATGTCTTGTGTAAAAATGTAACATTCCTTCGAAAACGTCATGAGGATGATGTAACACCCGGCCCCGCAGGCCCCGAGGTAGTTACTCCAGACGTCTAGTACTGTCCTCACAAACCACCACAAGCCTTTACCGCGCACTTTATCCTCACTCATGCGCTCCCTGAGAAACTTCCCAGGGGTCACCCATCCCAAGACTGCCCCCGTGGAAGCACGCTTAACTTTGGAGTTCTTGGCGGATGAGCTCCCGTAAAAGGAGATGCACCTCTGTTGGTATGAGTAGTACTATTAATCCTTTTAAATTAATCTTGAGTATTACAATCACCCCCACTTAGGAACGCACTACAAGAATTTTCATATTATATGACAAATATATTTGTCATATAACATTCATTTTTTGTCACTAAAACTTTTTCATGACGACTTATGATCGTCACAGTGATCGTCATCGTAGCTCCGTGGTATTAGGTATATATGACAAATTTTGTATTCGTCACCATATAAGTACTTTTATGTGACGTTTATGCACTTTGTCACCATTATGAACCACTTTTTGTGACGTCAAATGTGTCACGTTTACATCTCTTTTTTGTCACCGAAAAAGAAATTTCGTCACCAATACTTACACAATAAGTGACAAAATCTAAAGTTGCAAGTAAAATGTAATTTATAGTGACAATTTCTCATAATTTTCTCTAAATTTCGGACTTGGGACTCGGAGTGATATTCGTCACTAATTATCATTATTTAGCTACAATTATCTACCTATGATCACTGTTCTCAGGCACCAAAAGTTACCGCAAAAGCGGAAAGAGTCACACAGGCGTGACCCATAGCCCATAGGCGCGGACAAAGGCGGACTGAACTATTCCAGCACGTCAGCTTTGACACGCTTTGCCTTTGCAAGCATTGAACGCGATGCGTTGATAGAATCAAGGAAGAGAGAGCTTTTATAGATTTTGGAGAGGAGGAACACATCTATTCCACCGGTGTGGGATAGATGAATGAGAAAGGAAAAAAAAACATAAACAAACTACTTCGTAATAATCTCGTGTAATATAAAAACTCAGACGCAGAGATGGATTCGAACTCTGGTGACGATGTGTAGTAGGACATCAAGCTAACACCTATACTGTAAATTCTACGAGTAATAATGAGAACTGCAGTATATATAAGTTTTGCTTTTTTATACGTAAAATATGGAGTATAATCTTATACTCCCACTCCTTACAAACTAATACTCCCTATTAATTGTTTTTGGAATTCTTATTATTACTATTGTGTACTATTGGGAGGCCGCTTGACAACATTGTTTTTTGGCTTATCAGACTTATCAGCCAATTTTTTCATCAAATACGTAACTTTTACTTTCACGCGCTGAATTGTGTAATAAGCAGAAAAAGTAAGGCTGGCGTTACTTTTCTGGCTGTATTGGCTGAAGTTACTGTAGATGACTATTTTAGCTATTTTTGCATATATTTTTTTCTTTATTTATTAATAAAGTATATTTAAATTTTTTTCTTCTTAAATCAGCACAATCAGCCAATGCAGCTACTTTAGTCAAAACATCATGAGTTTCAGCAGAATGAACCAAAACTGCCAATTTTCGTGCTACCAAATGGGGTCTACACTATTGGTGTTGTATTGTAATATTTATTATAAAAACGAGCTTTAATGAAAAAAATCATTATTTTAAGAAATAGTTAATTTTGATTCTTTCATTACATATAAAATGACACGGAGTGAATAATAAGAGATTACTGTGTCATTTTCCATTAATATTAAGGTTTTCTCTATATATTTTGATCTCACATTTGTTTGAAAATTTTTTGTTAAAAATTATACTATGACACATTAATATTATCGTCATCAAAAAAACCATTAATGACAAAATAATATTGTCACTATTATACAAAAACAATTAATGACAAAATTTTATTTTTTCATTATAATTTAAAATTTTGCGACGCAAGTTATCGTCATTAATTGTTTAAAAAATGTCATCAAAAAATTCCCTCCAAAGTTTTGGCGCCAAATTTCGGCGCTAAAAATTAATCTGACAAATTTGACTTTATTGTCGTAGTATAGATTAATTAGTGACGAAATTTAAGAGTTAAAGTGACAACTAATAATATTGTGATAAAAAATCATTTTAATGTGACGAGTTTGAGTTTTGTAATTATTACTCAATGTAATATGACAATTTTTTGTGTGTCACACAAATTTTTGTCACAAAATGTGAGATTTCTTGTAGTGGCGCAACGTCCTCGTTGCGCCCATAAACCAATCTCAATCAAATCCCAGAATCTTTTCCCCTGCTAAGTGTCTGCCCGATACCCAACGGATCAGCACACTGTCGCAGGGTTGCTCTGATACCACCTGTAACACTCCGGCCCCGCAGGCCCCGAGGTAGTTACTCCAAACGTCTAGTACTGTCCTCACAAACCACCACAAGCCTTTACCGCGCACTTTGTCCTCACTCATGCGCGCCCTGAGAAACTTCCCAGGGGGTCACCCATCCCAAGACTACTCCCGTGCAAACACGCTTAACTTTGGAGTTCTGGGGTGATGAGCACCCTTAAAAGGAGATGCACCTCTGTTGGTATGAGTAGTACTATTAATTCTCTTAAATTAATCTCGGGTATTACAGATGACATTTTTACTTTTTCAAAATATTCAGCTTGCTTTTCAAAAGTGCCATCATAATGACATTTTTTTCCAGCTTGACATTTTTTCCGGCTACTAGAGGTGGCGGCCCTGAAAGGAGGCTGAGGTGGTGTTATTTACTTTTTACGTTTTTTAATGTTTATATTTTAATTTTTATGTTTTATTATTATCATGTGAAAAAGTCTATTAATAATGACAAGTGAAAGCGTAGAATAGGAAGAATTAGTCTTATACACAAAATTTAAATTTTAAGGGAAAACTGTCAAATAGGTCCTCGAACTTTCATAAAAAGGTCAAATAAGTCCTTATATAAGAGGCTCTGTCCGGCCATCGCGATTTAGGACGGTTCCCGGTGGAATTTTTTGATGAAATTTTTTGAGCATCTTATTCATCAAGTCTAGTTTACTCGTACCAAATTTCAACTAAAACTTTAATCGGGAACGCATTCAAATTAATTCTTTAAGATAACTGTGCATTTAACTGCACAAAATTATACACAAAAGCGTAGAATAGGAAGAGTTAGTCTTATACACAAAATTTAAATTTTAAACTCCTATTATCACAATTTTGCTTTTACTCACTCTTATTTAGGGAAATCTTCCTTTCCTATTTAGGAAATCTTCCTTGTGTTAAGTTGGTGATTTTCTTGGCTCCACCATAGAAATGACAATCATACAAAGGATAAATTACCCGATTAAAAACCATGAACCCGAGGTCCAAATGGATGCCATTGTCCAGTGGGACGGTCTTGGCATGTCCGCCCAGGTAATCTTCTTTCTCGTACAGCACCACGGCGGCGCCGGCGTTGGCCAAAACATAGGCTGAAACCAGTCCACTAACGCCGCCACCCACCACTGCCACTCTCATTGTTCCCATAATTGTACGTCAAATGAAAGTCTTTGCCTGTTCCAACAATTCAATACATGCCTCGTTTCAAATTGCCATTTCATTCAAGGTGAAATTAAAACGAAGAGTACAAAGAAAAACACCTTATTGCTGTTATTGTTTCCCAGTGGCTATTTATTATTGCTCCTGTTCTGTCTCTCTCGAACTGAGATGGAAACGTATTAATACTTCACAAGTGGGAGAAAATAGAGGCATATATAATATATTGGATATATATATATAGAGGATTATTCCTGTCCGGGATTTCCGGACAGGAGCCCCTTCTGGCCTCCTTCATTTGGGGACCTTCCCGGTCGGTTTCTTTGCTCAAATTTTTTGTGTATGTTCCTCATCAAGTCTAGTTCATCCATACCAAATTTCAGCCAAAAATTCAATCGGGAAGGTCGTCAAATGATTTTTGCAAGTTAACTGGTCCGGAATATGTATATTCCGGACCAGTTAACTTGCAAAAATCATTTGACGAACTTCCGGATTGAATTTTTTCTCAAATTTGCTATGAATGAACTAGACTTGATGAGGAACATGCACCAAAAATTTGAGTCAAAAATGCTACCGGAAACCACCTCAAATTGAGGTGGCCGGACGGGCTCTTGTCCCAAAATTCTGGACAGGAAGCTCTCTATATATATAGTCGCTGCCCGTTTGAGGAAAATGACCATTCAATTTTCTTTTTCGTTGGAGATTAAAAAAAATATTTTTCATTTTCTTTTCAAAATTTTTGAGAACTCAGAAGTTGGTAAAAATGCATTTTGACATAAAATGCTGTCCTTTTTGTTAGAAGAATCCCTTTTTCTCAGAAGAATCCCTTGGCTTCAATGCATGGAAAGCTAGCTAATTTACTGTTTTATAAAACTAAGCTATAAAAATAAGTAAATATTAAAAAGGAAAGAGATATGTCTCGCACACTCCAATTATTTATATATAAACATTACAAATAAAAACCCAGACATGCACTCACATGCATTGGGCAAGCTAAGGGACACAATTAAGGCCAAAGAAATATACAAACAAACTCAAGCATTGAGCTTCACAGGAACACATGCTGACATGCATAACGTGGCTATACATCATATGCTACATGGAAAGAAGCCACGGTGATTATTTAAACAATAATTAAATAAGGTAGATCGAGTATATTTTGAGATATATTTCAATAAGTATATAATATAATGGGGGTGGTGTTTATAACTGTGATATTATAAATGTATTATTTTTAATATTGAATGATTAATTTATCATTTAAAATTAGAAATGAGAACTCTTATATGGGATGTTCAAAAAGGAAAGTGAGAGCCTTTCTATGAAAGAAAGAGAAAATTACCATGCGTGTGAGTAAAACTACTCCCCTTTCTTCATATATGAGCACACAAGTTTCTTTCTCCAAATATGACCTATTACGTAATACCTATATAATACTTTTAATAAATAAATAAATAAATACTCCATATAGACTAAAATGCCCCTAACTTATCACTATAAACCCTAATAACCTTCCTCATTCTATCATCGCATCCATCTTCGTGGTTCATCGGCTCCATCTTCTACATTGCCTCCATCCACATGCATCCCCTCCAGCAAGTAGCAGTGGGATTAATCCCTCTATTCCGACTAAATCAAGCCATAGGTTGCGTTACTGATTGTCCGCGGAAATAGAAGCGGACGCCGTTGCCGTTGGAGGTAGTTGATGCATCGAGAGAAGCTTGCGTCGCCGGCCAGAATCATCGTCCCGATCCTTGGCGCCGCCGCCCAACATCTTCTCTTGGATCCACCAATGGATTGTGTCCGAAACCTAGTAGGGAGGAGGGGAGCGCGGCACAATTGCAGAAGCCGGCCATCTTGGGCTTGTTATGTGAAGGTTGCTGCCTTTTTTTTAGCAAATTGCTGCCTTTTTATCCATGAGAAGGCTTCTGCTCTTTTTTTTATCCGTTACTTGCTTTGGCCCTCCATTCTCATTCCAGCTTTTATGGTTTGAAATCAGGAGTTTCTAAAATTAGGTTTTGTAGACATTAAATATGGGCAATGAATATGAGTCGTGAATATGATGAAAAATATTGTTGAGTATGGGGAGTCAATTTAGGGTTTGTGGGCATTAAATATGGGCATTGAACATTGACAGGGAATATGACAACGTGTGTTGAGTATGGCCGTGAATATGACAATATATGTGTTATACATGGCAGTGAACGAATGCATTAAGAAATTTTGTTGTGCAGTGATTATGACCAGTATTGCAGTAACACAAAGCAGTGATATCATCATGAAATGCAATATACTTAATTAGACGTAAAATAATCAAATTATTAAATTAAAAAAAAAATCGTCAATTGAATAAGAAGAGAATTAATTTTAGGGGAAGTGCGGTGATTATTACCGGATGTGCAGTAAAGTCATGCATTAATTTTGTGCATTAACGGCAATATAAAGTGTAGTAGTTTTAATTGGACGAAATTAGTGCAAAATGCACATATTTTAAATAAGGGTATTTTCGTCATTCATCATTTAAATATAAACGAATTTTCTATTTGTTTTTGGATTTTTGGTCATACAAAGGTATAAAAACTAGTTAGGTCATAGATTGAGAAACTCATCGAGTTTTAGTCATATCCCGGTAAATTTCCCTGAAAGAAATAGAGTAATAAGGACATACTACCTCCGTTCTCTTGTAATGGCAACATTGGTGATTTTTGCACTATGCACCTATTTTACTTTGACTACATTTTATTTATCAATATTTTTTTTGCTCCTGGGGGTCTGGGGGAGGGGGGCTGGAGGGGCCTGGAGTAATCAGTGCTGAAATTCACTCCATTGAGTTACGAATGCAACCCTTATGTGCCTAGCGTGTTTCGAACTCGAGACCTCCCACTAGGCACGGTAACCTCACAACCAGCTGGGCTGGAATGCTTGGTTATTTTTTATCAATATATTATAAATAATTTTTTTGAAAAATATTGTTAAATTCCTCTCATTTTAAATTTTCACAGTCTGATTTTTATAATTTTTTACGGATAAGGAATGAAAGATATCAATGGTCAAACATGCGTATTGACAGACGTGAAATGTTGACTGTTGCAATTAAAAAAGAACGGATAGTCACATAAAAAAGGACATAAAGCATTATATACACTCAAGAGCCATGCATGGTTAGGAGCGTAAAGAATTAATAGAGAAATAACAGAGTAAAAGTTAGGAAGAAGGGAGATGAGGAAAGACAAAAGAGAAGAGAAAGGAGGAAGGTTAACTCGATCCATTTACAGATTTTATTTCTCTTCTTACGTTAAAGTCAGTACTATAATACAACATTTATCAAGTACCTTTTATTTTTTTATTAAAGAAAAGATCAAGAAAAAGGACGGCTCAGATTGATTCCCATTTTACACGTTAAGATCCTTTTTTATTTGAACCAAACTCTATATATATATATATATATATATATATATATATATATATATATATATATATATATATATATATATATATATATATATATATATATATATATATATATATATATATATATATATATCTAAAAGAGGTAATATAAGCTTGATAATATTGTGTTTGATAAAAGTTAATTCCGCCAATTTTTAAGAATTCTTTAATTTGAATAAGAAAAGTAAAAATATAAGTGAACATATTATCCTCATATATGTCGTTACAAATTTCTCATCAATTATATACGTAGTACGAAGTATATTATACTTAAACATGCATATGTGTTCTATTTTCAGTATTTAGTCACTTTCTCACTTTTAAAACTCATATAACATTTATGACAAGTATTTTTAGCTATTACATATTATTATGATATAATATGTATCAATTCATTAACCATGACTAATACACAGTTACACACGCGCGCACACACACACACACATATATTATTTTTATTTATTTTTTGTTACACGCATATGTACATTTATATGTCTATATGTATATGTATGTGTTTGTTATATACTTTGTACTACATACTCTATACATACTCCATAATTTACTTAAATAAGGTTATAGATTAGTGGGGATGTGGCGGGTGTAGGAATCCCCGTCCCCCTCCCATATTTTAGTGGGGTATAAACATCTCACCCATCCTGTTCCCCGCGGCCCCGCCTCGCTCCAAACCCCACCCCATCCACCTCCATGGGGCGGTTCCCCATGCCCCTGCCCTCATTGTCATCCTTATATTCTCGACACCCACTTTACGAGACGTGGTGATATGGCAGTGCTCCTCCCCTTCTGAAATTAGATGATACATTTCAGTTAAGGTGAGAATCGGACGAGTGGCTAAGATTTGGCTTTTAATATGTGCATAATAATCATCCAATCCCATCCAAAAGTCATAGAGGTCTTCTCGATCTCTGGATTCATTAATTTGTTTCGTGATTTTACACAGAACACGGATTTTACCCACAAGCTATGTAGCCCGGAAACTCTCGGGAAAGAGTACGTTTCCCGTTTCGGAAACTCTCTGAAACTCTTTGGAAACTCTCCAAATAAGCCTTTTTTGAGCAAAAGTTGATGTTTCCCGTTTCCCGTTTCCCGTTTCCTCGTGATTTTCGCGTTTCCGTGCAACATAGCCCACAAGTGCGATTCGGCGTCTTAGTTATGGATGCCGTTTCGTCCCATATTCGTAGAAGTTGAATGAAGTATGCTGACACGGATTATCCGTCTTTCCAAACAGTCCCTAGCAAACATCGCAATTAGGGATAACAATTACTACGGAACCGATGGATACCCGCACTGAATCGCCCTGGTCAAAATGAGAAAAATTGCATTAACCGGGTGACAGGTACATGGCGGGGAATACCCGTTTTGTTTTTACGGGTAACGGGGCGTTTACGGTTTTATACATGACCGTCCATTATCCGCTCCGTACCCGCCCCTTTTATTTTTAAATATATATTTATTACATTTTTATCTATTATTTGTCTCACAACTAATAAAAGATGAGACTTTTCTCATTTCACTATGTATATATATATGGATAATGGTTGTACTAACTGTAGTGTATGAATGAAAGTTCATAATTGGTTTTAATAGTTTTGTTGTATTATTATCATATAGTTTTCGTGATTAATTCTTTTTCACTACAAGTATTTTTAGGTTCAAATTAATTTAGGTTGCCTTCTTTCTCGTATAGTAGATATACGAAACTTTTAAGTGGCGTATGACGTTTAGAGTTGTCTGGACAATGTCATTTTTTCGTATATTAAAATATTACTCCCTCCGTCCCTATTATATCTTCCAAATAGGTTTGGCACAGAGTTTAAGATAGTGGGTATTGTGTGGTGGAGAGTT